TAATTTCCTTGTTAAGATGTTACCACACAAAAATATCAATACATCCCCACAATTTTGATACAAATTATAACAGTAACATTCATCACTTATTAACTATGGTGTGCTTGAATAATAAAATTCTAAATCAAATTCATGAAATAGAAAACTTAGAATAATTATGACTATACAAGCCAAAATTAATGCTTAAACAAAATTATATTTTCATAAAGACTTGGCCCAAGAATCAAACAATTCAAAAACTTCATTTACTTGCATAAATCTTACAATGCATTCGAATTTCTGTAGGTAACTTGTCATGAATCAAGATTAGCAAACAACTATGTTTCCCTCCCCTATATTTGTCGTAATACATAAATTAGCACAAACAACATGACTCATTCATGAACAAGTATCATTATCACAAAAATATTTGTGACAAAAGAAAATTGAATTATCTTTTATAATTCAAGGATAAACTCCCGCCAAGAGTAATCTTTATTTACTCTTGAACCATAGTTTTCGTGTGAACAGTGGCGTAGTTAGGAATTTAGTGCAGAGGGGGCACAAATTAATGATAATTTAGTTCTATTTTTCTAAAAACACTTTTTAGAAAATTCTACTTTCTTGTTTTCCGTGTTTTTTTTGTTTTTACTAATTTTTTTAATATTTTAAGTAATTTTGTTTTTACTTTTTAGACATACCTACATAAATATACCTAAAAAGTAAAAAAATTATGAAAAAAAACCTTTTAGAAATTCACTAAATACCAAAAATATGTTAAAAAAAAAACAAGAATTCAGTACATTTTTTGTATTTTTATGTATTTATTAATTTTTTAAGATATTTTTTCACAAATTTTTTATTTTTAAATACATCTAAGTAAGGTGCATCTAAAAAAGTAAAAAAAAAAAATGTTTAAAATTTTTAAAATATTTACTAAAAACAAAAAAAAAAAACGAAAATTAAAAAACTCAATTTTCAAAAAACTTAATCCAAAAAACTCAAACTAAACACACTGATTAATTTTTTTTTTCATAATAAAAAACAATGAAATATTGCTAAACTTAAATGTTAAGAGTTCATTTGAATAAATGTGAATTTAAATTAAAGGATTTGAGATTAAATTTTATACAAATTTTGGGGAGTAACTATTTTATAGGTGGATTGGAAAATTAAAAAAAATGATATGTTAAGACAGAAATGATATATTTTAGTAGAGAAATTCTATAAAACATACCACAAAAAAAATGTCTATCATATCTCGCAATTATGATTTTCGTGGTCTTTAGTTATAACACATGATAGTGTTAGATATAATTTAGTTATAACTTCTTGTACTTGTTATTTTAGTTATGACTATATATCAAGTAATAGTTAGTTATGATTCATTCTGATATTAGTTATGACCTATTGCAATTTTTTTATTTTTTTTATTTTTATAATTGAAGATGTGTTGCTTGATTATAATTTATATAGTGGTCATTTTAGTTATGAATGGAAAGAAACACATGAAGGATAAACTTCACATGTCAAATGTAACTAACAATCCAATAAATTCTATATCTTCATTGAAATTTATTATGTTTGTATGTCAATAATGATAGACATAACCATTATATTGAAATTTTTATAGATAATAATATGATTTATTATAACCTCTTTATTTTCAATCAAAATAACCATTATTGTTCTCATAATTTTAAAAATGTCATCCACATTTCACTTTAAATAATATTTTTATAAATTTTTTTATTTAAAATATTTTCTTTATGTTTGAAAAAAAAAATTCCCAAAACCCAGGGGCACGTGATGTAATGCCCTCAAAATAAACCCATAATATCATACATTCAAGATATAGGAAAGAGATATTATATTATAATCATCAGAGTGTTCTTACAAAATGTATTACATATTGACAATAAAAGTAATCGCCCTATGGGCTTACAACTTCCCAAGACAACGCTTGGTTGCAAAAAGAGAGTGCAAACTCTATACAAAGAAAGCCCTTGGCTTGATATACATGTAATACAACAAAACAACAAAAGGTGGTCTAATAGCCTCAAGCCTTCCAAGCTACGTCCTTGGAGGTGGCATAACTTCAAAGCTTTGAAAGGATAACAAATGCAAGTGAAAGGCTGCACTACATGGGCTGAAATCACATATGAGATGATGCCAAATCATGAAAAAGGTCCAAGTAGTGCATGCTAATGACTTGGACCCTCAAAGCTAACAAGCTAGACTGTATGGTAGATATGTATAAAGATTAAGAGGTAAAGATGACATTTTAATCTAACAGAGGAGTAAGTGTAATTTTTCAAATGTGAAAAAAGAATTTATATTAAACAGAAATCTCAAAAAATGTCAGTATAATTTTCACTAAATTAAATGAAAATAGGACTTGGACAGGAATTGTCATAACTTGAGCAACCAAAATAATGTTAATTCTATTGTTAATATATATAATAAATATAAAAATACTATAAATTTCATGATTATTATTGTTTTGATTAAATTAAATTATATTATATTTTATTATTTAGTACACATAATTCAACTTGATTTTTTATATCAATTGATTGTTGATATTTAATCAACGTAATTTTTTACAATGATGATATACTTGACGAAATCTACATATTAAATGGTTTAGATCATTTAAATTGACCTAGATTAAGGCCCAATGTGACTCAACAGGACTGTCTAATTTGAAAACAAACTAGGGAAGAGCCCTTACCTTATGGAGGATTCTATTAGCACCTAAAAAATCATTAACCGCACCTAATTTCTTAGTATATCCTATTAAATTATTTAGGATTATAATTTACTTTCAATATATAGCGATTCTAGTTTTGACCCGATCCATTTGATGTTTTGGACTCAGGTTTTATGGTTTCTGAATGTTGTTCATGTCTTTTCCCCCTTATTCTTACTTGAGTTTGGCTATTGGCTTGTATCAAGCACGTTTGGAACAGGTTGGTTGCTTAGTTTTCAAACCTTTTATTGTCCAGGATTTTGCTCCTCCGCTCGAGCGGCACTTTTTGTGCTTGAGTGGGCTTTGTGAACTCTCAGTACTTTTGCAAGTCTGCAAAACTACTGGGAAAATGTATTCTACGCTCAAGCGGGTGGGTGCTCAAGCGACTTTTCTTGAGGTCGAACATTAGTCTATTGTCTGCAAAATTACTAAGAGTGTGTATTCTGCGCTCGAGCATTATTTCCTGCGCTCGAACGGAATAACTTATTGTGTCTGACACTTGAGCGTCACTTCTCATGCTTGAGCAGACTGTGCGTATATCAATTCGTAACAGTCACTTTTTCATCTCTTTCTCTCTCTAAAACGTTTCAAAACCCTAGATCTTTAGTCTCTCTCTCTAAAACTCACTCTCTCTCTACATTTTCATCTAGATCCATTGGGTTCTCTACCCTAGTGTCTTTGGAAAAAAGGTAAAGCTCCTCAAGAGCTATGTTTTAATCCGAATAAACCTTGGTTTCGATGTCTTTGAAGTTCCTACATTGCTTTGCTTGTTTTCTCACTTTGAGGTAGGGACTTTCTATACTCTCCTATGATTCTTAACTTAGTTATTTGTTGATTGTGTAACTAAGGTTGGGATTTGGAGGATTGAATTCCATGTGTTTTTGTTATTTATTTTGTGAGTCCCCTTTAAGTATGCAATTGTGCTTATTGTGGCAGGTAATGCCGAACGAGACGGGTCAGCTGGAAGTCATAGGAGGCAACCACCGCGTTTGCCATGGGCTATGCAGATGAGCCAAGAAGACAAACATAGCTGCCTTTCAAGATTTAAAAAAAAGGAAATCGGGAATGGAAGGCAAACAAAAGTCGATACGTCAAATATAAATGTTATATAAAATTTTTAAACAGAATGATATACCTTAATGGTGATCTTTCACTTTAAAATAAAACATCTATAAAATGATTTGTATTTACAACAATATCACTATCACAACATTTTTATGATATTTTCTGTATAAATTTTTATATATGAATATAATTTTTCATTTTTATTTCCATCATTATATTTAGATTAGATCAATTTAATTTAGATATATTTAAAAAATATAAACTTTGTATAAAAAATTTTAAAAAAATTCATTGAATACAACAAAATAAGATAATGTATTGAATATTATTTCATTATTTTATATTTAGTGAATTTAAAAAAGTTAAAAATTTTATAACTTTTAAATATATTTAGATTTCGTTTGGGAAATAATTATTTTAGCTAAGAAGTCAAAATATTATTATAAGTTGTTATATTACTCTCTACTTTTCTACACATCTTTTTATAAAAAATCAAAAACTTATTAAGATAGTTTGTTTTCAAATGAAACCTTAGACTAAGTGAATCTAAGAATAAAATAAAAAAATTGTTTCAAATATTAAAAAAATTTACTAGAAGTTTGCATTAGTAGGATGTGATGTTTGCTTCAATATTATCACAAGATAACCTAGCAAATGTTAACGTAGAGGCCGGGTTGACGCTATATATTAAGAATATATATGTCATTTTAAGTTTGGCTTAGATTAACATTGGACATAAACAGTCATCTCAAATTTGACTCTAAAAAATTTTCAAAATTTAAGCCTACCCACTCAACCCACTATTATTTTTTATTTTTTATTTTTTAAAATTTGTCTTGAATATATATTAAATTATTTAGATCATTTTATTTATTATTTAACGTGACTCAAAAAAATTAAAAAAATTAATTGTTAGCCAAAATTTCAAAATAAACAATCTATTAAAATATTTAAAACAATTCTCTCTATATGTTCTATAATAATCAATCAAAAAGCCTTACGTACCTTACATGCTGGGGCCATTACGTCCATCAAAGCCAAGACCAGGAGTCGTTGAATATCTCTCCCCTTGGGAAAATGCCCAGAAGGTCATATACTTTTCTTCTGGAAAACAATTGCTCTGCTTTCTTACAAAATTATAATCATTATATAATTGCAAATGACCTGATCTGTATTAACCCACAACAACATGCCTCTTCTTAGCATGCCGCCTCTTTCTGTTAATCTCATCATCATCATCTTCTTGTTCATCGTCAGTAGTCCAACATCACATGGCGCCGACAATGAAAATTACACGACTTGCCACCAAAAAAAATACGACTGCGGAGGGCAAATAAAAGGAATTGGATATCCCTTCTGGGGAGAAGATCGACCTCCGTTCTGCGGCGTTCAAGGTTTTGAGCTCACGTGCTATGGCAATGAAAGCACAACCATAGTTATCCAAAACCAGACTTTTCATGTTCTTCGTATCAATCAATCTGCCAATAACATGACCATTGCTCGAGCCGATCTGTGGCATAATCTTTGCCCTGTGGAATTCAGTGACACGACTTTGAATTTCACTCTTTTTGATTTCGGTCCACATCCGCATGTTCTAAATCTTACTTTGCTCTATGGTTGCGTCCCTAACGCATCTTATGATCACATAGAAGCACGGGGTCATTTTCAATGCCCCGAGGTAGCGGGGAACCAGAGTAGTAGTAATATTAATTTCTTCGTAGAAGACCTATATGACTCGTATATTCCGGAATGGGAATGTAAGAGCAGAATCAGGGTTCCAGTTTTCCAAGAGGGTCTTTATGCATTTTGGGGGGATGACCACATGACTGTGGAAGAATTGGTGAAGCAGGGATTTGAGGCTGATTATCATGAAACGGACAAATTCCTGGCCTGCGACTCGTGCAATTACTCTGGAGGGGAATGTGGGACTGACACTACTACAAATCAAGTAATTTGCTTTTGCCACAATGGACCTCAATCGTACATGTGCCCAGGGCCAGGTGTGTATCTGCTTTTCTTTCCCCAACTTTTCCATTGAACACTATTAAAAAATGTCACTAATTGTTAATTCTTAGTGACAATATGAAAATTTTGTCACAAAATATGTCATTAATTATAAATTTTAGCGGTAGTTTAAAAAAATTGTCACCAAAAAGTGTCATTAATTCACAACTTTTAGTGACAATTTAAAAAATTTGTCCCAAAAAAAGTCACTAATTGTAAGTTTTAGCAACAATTTACAAAAATCATGACAACAAAAAGTCAGTAATTGTCAATTTTTAGCGACATATGTAAAAAATCGTCACAAAAAAATTATTTTTAGTGACGATTTTACCGAAACTTATTTTCAATAAGACTTGATGGGAATTAAGTCTAACTATTAGGACCTATTGGTAGTTTATCCTAATTTTTTAATCTCATTATTTTAATATATTTAATTAAATATATATATATATATATATAATATTTTTAGAATTATATTTATTATAATTGTTTTAAAAACAAATATGCTAAAATTATTTGATTATAACTATTTCATTAATTTTATTTTTTTAATGAATAATTTACACATTTATAGATTGGAGGTTAAAAAAAAAAAAAGGAACTACTCGAATTATATTAATTATGTGGGCTTACTCAATTGGAGATTAGTTTATGCCAAAAATACAAATTTAAAATAGTGTAAGTTGTGATAGTATTTTTTTTCTCGAATATTAGTATTGATATAACTAATTGCTTTACTTGATAATTGGATTGAAACATGTCACCTCACCCACAGAAAAAATAAATAAAAATAATCATAAATAGAATTAGAAAGGAAGTTTCCTACCCAATGTTAACATAGATTGACTTTAAGATTGGTTTGGAAAAATGACCTCCTTTTTTTTCGTGATTTTTTAATTAAAATATGAGATAAAAAAAATAAAACAGTCGAGAGTGACTAAAAAAAAATATAGAGATTATGAGAAGTAATTTTTAACTTTTTGTATAATTTTGTGACTTTTTAATTTCTTGAATTAATATATTAAAAATTCTAAATAAATTATCAAATATTCTACACAATACTTACATAGTGTCATGTGAATATTGCTCTTTTTTAATAACTTATTAATTTTTAATTTTTTAAATATTTTAATCATAATAATCTAGGGAGATTGACCAAGAAGTCTCATATTTTAGATTTGTAATCCATATAGCCATATGTTTTTTATTATGAACTATTTAGTCATTTTAGATGTGTAATAGCTTATTTGTCCGCCACATTAGAATGTTACATTTGGAGAAAGTACATTAAAGAATTTTTAATTTTTTTAGAGTGTCACATCATACCCGCCACGTAAGAGATCACATGTCACATTTGGAAAAGTACACTAAGGAGTTTTTAATTTTTTTTAGAGTGTCACATCATACCCGCCATGTTGTCACTTTTGAGAAAAGTACACTAAGGAGTTTTTATTTTTTTTTGGAGTGTCACATCATACCCACTACATTGTCACGTTTGAAAAAATACACTAAGGAGTTTTTTTTATTTTTTTTGAAGTGTCACATCATACCCACTACATTGTCACGTTTGAAAAAATACACTAAGGAGTTTTTTTTGTTTTTTTTTTTGAAGTGTCACATCATACCCACCACGTTTTCACATTTAGGAAAAGTACACTAAGGAGTTTTTATTTTTTTTAGAGTGTCACACAATACTTACCACGTTATCACTTTTAAGAAAAGTACATTAAAGAGTTTTTTTTTATTTTTTTTAAAGTGTCACATCATACCCGCTACGTTATCACATTTGGCAAAAATGCACTAAAGAGTCTTTATTTTTATTTTTTTTTTAGTAAAAGTTTTGGAGTGTCACATTATATTTGTCACGTTGTCACATATAGGAAAAGTACATTAAGGAGTATTTAATTTTTTTAGAGTATCATATTAATACATGTCACATTGGAGTATCACATTATACCTGTCACATTAATAAAAAAAATGGTATAACTGTCTACCAAAACACTATCAAAATAAATAAAAAAATAAAATCACACGAAAAGAAACCCTCCACTAATAGGACTTAGTAATTCAATAAAAAAAAATAAAATTAGACTGATTAGAGTATTTATTTGTGAGATGAGATTTATTGATAAATATCGCAATCTATTACTAAAGACACCACACGACCATATTCCAAAATTATGACTAATCTCTCCAGTTAATGCTGTGTTTGGTTCGGAGATTTAAAAAGGGTTTTGAAAAAAGAAATAGAAAAGGTAAGTAAAATATAAATAAAATATACTTATATTTCATTTAATTTTATATATATTTTCTCTTTCTCTTTTTAAATCATTCTCTAAATCTCTCAATCAAACACAATAAAAACGGGCCTACCAACTCCCTCCAAATTGGTTTTTTTATAATGAGAAATAAAGAAAGTAAAAACTGCCCCAAAGATTTTTTGTAATCTTTCTTCCACTACCAGAGCTTTTCTTTTCTTTTGCCCACTCATCTTACTTTACGATGATCTAACATTTTCCACTTTGAGCACCATATTGTTTTTTCTTAAATTTTTCTATTTCAATGTGTTCTTAGGTGCAAGATAAAATTTAAAAAAATTTTAGATCTCCAAAATCGAGATTCTCATTATATTATGTAATTAAAAATACCTTCAGATATTAGAATAAAAAAGCATGGAAACATATAGTTAATTTCGACAATCACATCCATTAGCTGTAATACTTGCTAGCACTACAAGAAATGTCACTTTTGGCTACTAAAATATTAGTCGCCAAAAATCCAATATTTAGTCGCTGAAACGATTTAGCGACTAAAATATTTTCTCGCCAAACTCGTTGCCTATACCCTGTCGGCGATAGTATTGGTGACTAAACTTTGTTTGGTCGCCGAAAGTGACTACATTTCGCTACTAAATTTAGTTTAGTCGACAAGTGTTATGTTTCCGCCACTAAAACTTTTAGTCGCCGAATGAGGCTTTTTGGCTACTAAGTTGGTTTGGTCGGGGAAGGTGTCACTTTTAGCTACTAAATAATTGGTCGCCGAAAGTACACATTTGGCTACAAAACATTATTTAGTCGGCAAAAGGTGATTTCGGCGACTAAAGTGTTAGTCACTAAAAGTGCTACCATAAAATGAGAATGACTATTATAGACCAAACATTTTGATCACCAATAGAATACATACTTTTAGTGACTAATTAATTTTTGTCGTTGTTACTTTTGCCCACTAAAAGTTTCGTAGCCAAAAGTCTCTTAACATTCACTTTTTCACTTTTTGCCACCAAACGTTTTGGTCGCCAAATGATACCATTTTTTTTTCTGTGACTAAAAAATTTAGTGGCCAATAGTTTCTTTCTCTCTTTCTCAATTGTTTTAGCAACTAATTATTTGGTCGCAAAAAATTAGTGGGTTATGTTTTTGCTACTAAATTCTTAGTCACCAAAACATTTGATTACGTATTTAGCTACCAAAATATTTGGTGACAAATACTTTAACATGTTTTTTTTTTAAAATAAAATTTTCTAAACAACCTGTATCCATTATTAATACAATCTGTACCCTGTATAAACAATATAATCCATAAGCGCTAAATATGTTATCAAGCATTCAACAACGTGCACACATTTCAGTTCCAACCATCTAAAAAATTAATATTGAACGTCCAATTATATATATATTACAAATTCCATAAGAACCAAGTCTAATCCAACATCAATAATTTAATTTCATACATAATACAGGAATAACCAAATTAATTGTACACCTACAACTTTTGTACCACAACAAAAATTATATTCTGTACTGCCCCAAAACTATTTTGTACCACGTGCTATGTTCATTTCTACCATGCCAAATTAGATGATATTTACCACACCAAAAAAGTAATTTGTACAAACCACTGGATATACGGATAGAGATATAAAAACAATGCCCTCCCGTACTTGTCAACAAAAACACAATGTCATTTGTATGTCTAAAAACATCTGCAAAAAAGGGGAAAAAAAATTCATTAGTTTGGTGCGTGTAGAGGCACTTCTGGACGACATATATATATGGTAATAATTTCAAACATTATATGTATAGGAGAGTAATATCTATTAACTAATGAAAGACATCCAAACATGGACCCATCATGAGTTCATGTTTTAGCTTTTTAATCTCTAAATCTATCTAAGTAAATTTTAGTAGTTAAATGTGAAACTAAACTGTGTAGGTATTACCAAATTACAGAAATTATGGGTGTACTTACATTTCATCCAAAAATTATTTGTTATAAAAATGTAAGAGGACCCATCATTAGAGTTTGTCTGATATCCATAAAACTCACTATGCTTATGCTTTTGTGACCTCCATGAAGCTTCCAGTTACGTTAAAACAGTGCTTTTCTGACCTCCATGGATGGAAATTGGTGTGTACTTTTTCTTCATAAAATATTCTAATTTATTCGATCTAATCATAGAAAGTTTGGAAACGCTTTCCTTAAAGAAGAAATTAAGTCAACAATGTAATGAAATCATAATACTGTTCATTTCTATTTAACTAATTAGTGGGTTTATAGATGTAGATATACTTCTATTTGTGAATGAGTAATGCCTTGGGTTCTTTACAGGCTTATGGGGACAAGAGCTGAAAAAGATTATGCTTAACTGTTCTTCCATAACACCATCTAATTTTGATAGATATCTTCAATACTTAGCTTTTTTAGTCCTAAGTTCCCTGATCTGTTGCTGAGGAATTATCCTCCCATCAGCCAAATCTTGAGGCCATGTTATATATATGAACTGTGTACTATTCAACTGTTGTTGCACATTTTGTAGTGGTGATAGTTAAACTGATCAAATACACAATTGCGCCTAAACCTTAGCTGAACTTTACAAATCCATTATTCGAATTTCCAACCGATTAGGTCAACATGATATATCCTTCGTCACATTTAGTTCTTGCAAAATGGTGCCCAAACCCCTTTTTTCGACTAAGTTTATGACATTTTCAACTCTAACTCCTAACGTACTTGTCCTACTTACGTACCGTCTGT